TTCCAGGATTTCCTAACGCTGTGAAGCTTAGTTGGGGTGGTGGGTGTTTCGCTGTTTGACAGTCTGCAAGTGACACATTAAGTGCTGACCAACTCCCCATACTCAGGAATGCGGCCTTTCCACTCCTTCATTGTGGGCTGGTTTGTTTCATTAGAATCTCAGTGCTGGGACCTGTGTTTCGGCCTCCCAGGAGTGTATCTACCGCCTGCAACCTCAGGTCAGTGTGGGAAGCTCATGCTGTAAAGCTGTAAGGTGGTGTACAGCTTGTTGTTAAGGAGCTGTGCCCACATCCAGAATGTTGTGGGTTCAAATGCCATGACTAGTAATTAGAGCACTAATGAGCAAGGTCCTTAACTGCTCCAGGAATTCTGGATGACCCCGATCTTCACATGCACATCACTTTCAGACAAAAATGTGTGCTCGATGATGTAAAGCTTTTACATACAGCTAAGCAAAGAAAACACCCCATCTGTAAAAGTGCTTTTTTTTCCCTGTGTGTTTGTGAAAATGTACGTTCCGATCCGTTTATTTTAACAAGGGGAGTAGCTTCCAACATGCTGAGCTTTTATCTTACAGTTAAAATTTAGTTTTGATGTTCAATCCTACATTTCCAACATGCTGTAGCTTCAGAAACCCTTAATAAATTTTGCTTTGCAGCCCACATGAGTTTCCAGCAGGACCCTAGCCTGGTGTTTCTGTTTTAATTGGCCAGAGTGCGACGAAAAGCTGGGAATGTGCTGGTTTCAATGAACCACTAAGACTCCACTCAGCCCCCACTCCCCACCCCAAGAGAGATCTTCTGTATACTGCTTCATCGAAGCTGCGTGGGCATCCAACAGCTGTAAGACGCATCTGGTCTGGCCACGTCCATAATCTATTAAAAGTCCTTGTTAAACGCCATTTGTTCTTAATAAGTGTGTCGCAGTAATCTTCCACGACTTGGAAAAAAGGCTGCAACCTCCTAGCACTGGTCTGGAGGAGGAGGAGGCGTTGACCCTTGGTATGGCAAACGTATCAGATTTTGGATGTTTCTTTGGCGGAATCTTCAAAGAACTTAATACAACCTCTGCAGTGAGGCTGTAACTGAATGTGCTCCGAAACACTGCCAGGAACCCAGGAATACAGGTCTCAGAGGAAAATATAACTATTACGAAAACTGAGCATTAAAAATCCATTTAAAAGGCAGCAAGAGGAAGAAGGGGGCGTAATATGCTGAGGAATCAGGATTGGGTGCATAGGGGATATGTCATATTTAGCAGTATTACCAGGGATGCACGTGACTGGTACACAAGTACGCATTCTCTGCATAAAGCAATACATGTCAGGATCGGCGCCCATCTGGCCCTGTCCCATGTGTTTTGTCCCCATTTGGCCAGCAGGTGTCACTAGCCATCCTATTCCCTCCTCTGTCTTGTAGCCCTAAGTCCCCAGTATGTTTACCTACTCCCTGGCGGCTTAACACGCTAAGTGGTCAACCCCTGTTCTCAACTCCCCTTGTTTGGTTGTGGGTTCTAAGCTGGGTTTTGTACTCTTTCGGTTTAACATTTGTATTGGTATTTCAGTTTCAGTTCCTTGTTTTTTGCTCCTTGTTCCCGGCTCATTTGGTTTCCCTAGTTCTGGGTTTGGTCCTTTTTCCCTATCTGCTAATTGACCTCTCTGTGCCTGTTAATTGTTCTACCCCACCTGTTCCTTGCTACCCCATGCCCTTAATGATCAGTTGATTCGTTATGGTCCTCACCTGTCCCCCATGTTAGCGGTGTATTTAAGTTCTTGTTCTGTTTTTTGGTGGTTCATTGTAGTTCTTTCCCTGTGTAGTGATGTGTTTGTTGGTTGTACTTATTCTCTGTTAGTTATTGTAGTCTTCCTTTGTTCATTCTAGCCTTAGTATTGTGGTTTTTGGTGTTGTTCCCTGCCTTAATTTTTGTTTTTGCCAGTTTTATTTTGAGCCCTTACTGTCCTTTTGTTTTATGGTTCTCCCATTCTGCTTGTTTTGCTAAATAAACCCTGATTTATTGGAGCTGCTATGTGGATCATCCTTCCTCCGTCATGTCAAGTCATAACAGATACTTGCATCAGTTTCATATCATAATGCTGCAAATGTGTATTTATGTTATACTTAGCATTACTGTGGTACGATTTGACGGGATGGACGTATGAACCTGTTGGAAACAGAGGAGTATAAAACCTGCAGAAGCATTCCAGAATCCTTCTGTATGACAGCAGTATGCTTGCTGGGGTACAGAAAGGTTTTCCTTCTGAATGGTCCCCCTCCTCCCACCAAGTTGGAAATTTCAGCTGGAATCCTCAAGTCGGAATTCCGACTGAGAAATTCGACCACAGAATTCAAAGATGGGTGCACCCTTATCAACAAAAGTGAAAGCTGCAGTTATAAACAGTTTATTAGCACTTATGTCTTATGTTTCATTAAATTTTTTCATACACACAGTACTGTCCAACCGCCATCTGTGGACATGTTGCTGTGGTGTTTATATATGCAAAATACAAAGTAATGTGTCGTTAACAGCTGATATTGCTAACAATGGCTAACAATGAACCTGGCTAGAACTGGGTTCTGTTTCAGAAAGCAGAATGTCTTTCTTAGCTGGATAACTTGATTTAACGTGGTCTGGGCTAAATGTAAGTGAACAAAGATAAAAGCCACTGAAAGTATTTTACATAAAGTTGTCCGGCTAAGCAAGAAATCCTGATTTTTTTAAACCAGTCCCTCATTTGCTAAAGGCTTTCTGACTCCATTTGTGCTGAAATGCGGTCAACTCAGATGTGACATCATTGCCAGGTCAGACTTCTGTGGTAAATGGAACGTAGCATAAAAATTCAGGAAAAGATCTTTTAAATCCTTTTTAAGTGCTCTTTATTGAAGGGTGTGAGTCAGTAGTGAGACAATTAAGATATTGTAGGGCATTTATTGTCTCACATTTTTATTTATTGAGTGGGGAACTCAGAAAATATAATAAAAACATGCTTGTTAGTTTAATTTAGAGAATGTTTGCAAGAGGTAGCTTAACCCAAAGCTGTCTGGACCAGACTCTTTGATGACAAAACATAGCTCTCCTTCCAGCTCTCGGAAATGTCAGCCCCAAAACCGTAGGATATAGCTTACTCTGCGTTCCCCCGCGACCCAACTGACGATGGAGATTTCCAGGGAAAAAGGCTGCAAGGATGCCTCGTGGCCACTTGTTGGGCTGCCTGTGTATGGCGGGAAAGCCCATCTATCCTTCTCCACACACTTCGAATTTGAGGGTGTTGCCCTTTGACACAAGCAAGTGGTAACAGTCAAGCTGGCCTTGGAGTATTTATGGTATGTAAACGACAATAAAAAACGTAAACTTACGAACGTGTTTGCAGATGCATTTTTTTTTTGCATACCTATACCTAAACAACATCAGTCTCAAAAAAATGCACATTTTTTCATGATAAACGTGCTTAAAATTGTGGGATTTAATGTGCTGTCATCAGTATGGGAAAGCAAGTCCTGTTAAAAGAAACACCAAATAATATATTTTCTGAAGTCTGTAATAAGCTTTTCCCTTAAAATATGTATATATAACTGTTTATAAGTGCAGTGTCATCGTCTCAGGTGACAGAATAAAATTATGTTTATAGTTATTTATCTGTGCTCAGGGAAAGAAAAAAAAAAAAAAAAACATAATTTAGCCATAGAATATATTTCAGGGTTCCCTAATTCCAGTTTGCAACTGAGTAGTCGGATTTCCCTGTGCAAACACACCTTAATATTAATTGCCAAGTTTAGTAGGTGTGTTTCAGCAGGGCAGTTACTGCAAAGTGTGGCCCTCCAAGACTGGAAGAGGGGAACCCTGATATATAGTAAGAAACAGTAACATGACATAAAGGAACATGATGTTTTTCCTCAAAAAGTTACTTGTTACCTTGCATTGGCTAGAAGAACATCACTTTGGTTGCCAAATCAAAGCCAACCAAGCTCAACAGCTTACTTTAATTTAATCAATACTGAACTTGATGCGGTATTGATGATCCAAACAAAGTACTCTAGTGGTTGAGTTCAACATACATCTGACTATACTGGATAGTATGGTGGAGAATTGAGAAGAGGTTTTTAAATGACTAAAGCTGGCACTCTTTGACAGATATAAAATTACAGTTTTACACCAACATAATTTTCTGTGGCAGTCCTAAACTTTTACACAGTACTGTATGTATTTCTCATGAGTAACTGCAAGTTATTAAAACACCAGACATGGATTCGTTTAGCATAGAGCATCTGTCACAAAGCCGCCTCTCGGGTCAGAACAAGGAGTTCATTCTAGGTGCGCCAGGGCTGCACAAACATCCCTCCCAAAGAACCACACAAAGAGGACCCTGGCTAGCACACTTCACGCTGGGCTCTGACGCTTTGGCTGGGCTGTCAAACACACTCGAATCGCGCGGGAACAAATGTAGTCAGGGCGAGTGCAGAGAAAGCGGATCCAACGTGGGCCAACGGAATGCCAGTCGCGGGCTACGTTAACACAGGTTTGCACCCGCCGAGGCATCTACCTCTGGCCAAGAATGGTTGCTTCATGGACAGAGGGAAATTGTTCCAGTGGATGCATTGGAGTTAGCATGTGAGTTCTTTACAATCACAGATGTGAGAAAGTTCCAAATATAACACGATAGATCAGCACTCCAGGATTGGGTAAAATTTGCCCTTGGTGCAGGTGGGTCCCAGGTGTAGTAATAATAATAATAATAATAATAATAATAATAATAATAATACACCCTTCCACCATCTCACCCAATACTTGTCAGTGAAATAGAATGCTACCACCTCTGCCTCCTGTTAATAATACTAATTATTATCATTGTTATTATTATTATTATTATTATAAGGTACTTGTCAATAAGCAAGCTTCTGAAGAAAAAGAAAAAACTAAAAGAATCACTGCAGATTGCATCCTGGACAACAACTTTAGTTTAAACCAAGAGCAGCAGTAAGTAAAACACAAACAGCTCCTCCTTACCCGGTAAGGTCCCTGTCTGTCCTCATACATCCCCCAAGGCAGCCTCTCCTTGAGATGTGTGTTCAGTCCCTCTTCCCTGGTGTGTGTGAGTGACTGTCTCCAAATTGGCTTCCTTTGGAGGAGCAAGATAGATTCCTCAAATCTTCAGGGGTGAGGCTTTTAATCTCCCTGCTCCCCAGAGCCCCCAGTGGAAGAGGCACCACGGCTCTGTTTGTTTAGTCAAATTGCAGCCGAGGGGGCTGTCACTGATAAAACCTGCTGTCTGGCAGGGGACAAAAAAGACTTTTTTTCTTTAAAATTCCTTCAGTTCGTCTGCAGTCAACTTTCGAGACAGAAAGAGAGATTCAACGCGAGTAGGACTCACTCTGCAAGTGGAATAACATGCATCTGTGCGTGTGTCCCTCACGATGTCCGACACACACGTAAGAGGAGAAGACAGGCTCCCCCCCTTAGCAACAGTAGCGATGGACTCCCTCTGCTCCTCCAAAAAAAACAACCCAAAAGAAGGAGATGAAAAACGCTAAAGGAAAGAAAGTTCTGGCAAGGTCTGCCGCGTCTTCGTCCAGCAGAAAGCAGTAAATCACTTTTCCTGAGACCTTTTCAGGGGGAAGATTCATGCAGATGACTAAAAGAGAGAAAGAAATTATAATAAATGCCCAGTTTCTGGGAAAAAACAAAAGCCTGAAAGGAGTGACTGGCGTCTGAAAGTGTGGAAAGGCTCCGGTGGAAAGGGGTGCTCTCCCCCACAGCTCTCCACAGCGGAGTGCCTGCGTCTGTTTTCAATCTTGGCTTTTCTCCTTGATTTCTCCTTTCCCAGGATATGAGTGGATAGTAAGAAAATTCATAAGCCTGGCCAAAAAGCTGAGTCAGGCCTTCTTATTTGAGGGGATTTGGAGAGAGGTGGTGGCGGTGTGTGTGTGTGTGTGTCTGTATCTGTGTCTGTGTTTGTGGGGGGGGGGGGTGGCTATTGTGGGGATGTGTTAATTTGGACTCCCTGCTTTAATTGCTGAAATTAATCTTAGAACCTAGTAGAAGCAATCAAGATGCCACAGTTTTCAAACAGGACAAGACAATAGTGATCTGTTGGTCACCTTGACAGGTGTGTCAATCCAGGTACTCTAAAGTATTTTCACTGCCCCCTGATAAAGATTGGTCACACTATACCCAATGTGAGAAGATACGCTCTTTAAAAAATCTGTGTAATCCTGTTACAGTAAGTCATCACAGATGTAACGGAGTGAGCAAGCTTACATACCAAACGTTGAAGCGCTGTGCTTGGTGAATCAGGGCTCTTGCTGAATCACTCATGTTTAAGGTTCCCGCAGATGGCCCTCTGGTGTGGGGCATGGCTGACGATCTCCCTGGCTTTCTGTGGCACCTCTTTTTAGATCTCCCAGATGTCTTTCTTGCAGATGTTCGCCTGTGAACAGACCAGAGGCCGGAGCTCATGTAAACATCTCCTCAGTGGAATGGCCGCTTGTAATTCCTCAAGGGAGCTTGCGTGGTGGAGGTTCACACGTTCCAACTGTGTGACTCGACTTTCTAGAATGCATCACGGTTCTGAGCCTGACAGATTCTGCCCCATGCAGATTGTTGGGGCTCATGGGGGGGGGGGGTGTCAAGAGGATTAGGAGATCATCCATTATCAAGATAGATAAAACATTTCACACCCAGTATAAAATATCATTGAGCCCAGCAGAAGAAATACAGAGAGATATTGCCAGGGGTGATAAGAGTGGATGTCATCCAAAATTCTCGGTCTGAATCAGTTTCTGCTTAAATCAAAAAAAGTTCTTTTGTTGATTTTGAAGAACCTGATCCTACTCCTAGAATCTGTTGCCTCAGGACAAAAGCTTTAATTTCCTTCTGCAAAACAGAGAATACAGTTTGCATAACGATAGTGCTGAATACTGATTGTCATCTTCTAGAACTTTCTATATGAGTTCAGCAAATAAACTGCAGGTGACCACAGCAGGAAACAGCGCAAACCAAAGGTTGCGGCATTGATTTCTTTTTTCTTTTTTTACAGCATCGTTGAGCTTTAATTGAGACCCGCCGGAACTCATTAGTGCTGAGCTGGTCCCCACAATGCACCTCGTCACAGAGGTGGCTGAGGTCCGTTTGAAGCTCGCTGGTGGTACTGGGCTTTCCTGCGGCTCACCAGTCATCACAACTCCTCGTCACGGATACACGGGAGCCATATCTGCAAGGAAGTGTCACACACGCTTTGCATGTGTGTTACTCTATAACACTGATCATCAACTGGCGGCCCGCTGAGCCGTTCAATCCGGCCCGCGACTGGATTCCAAAATTGTGAGGATCAAAAAGAAAATAGTGGTCCACATTATTAAAGCAACTAAAAATAACAACAACTGAGTCTCTTGTCAGAATAACCACCATTTATGACTATATTTAGGCTATGACATGGGACAAGTATAAACATTAAACATAATGTTAAGCCAAAATTAGATTTTTATTTGATTTTCTTCTTGGGGGTCCGGCCCCCAAGGAGACTGTCTGGTAAAACTCTGGCCCTCTGACAAATATAGTTGATGACCCCTGCTCTATAACATTATTTATACCAAACAGGTATGTGTATATTATGTCTAAAAATGTCCCTGTGACTTTTTCATTGTTTTCTGAGACCAGAAAGTCAAACATCATAGATTTTTGTTCTAGTGCAGTGTGCCATCTCCTATTTGAACATTTTGTGGTTTGAATCATTTCAGCAGATGTCTTGTCACAGCAGTCAGGCGGAGGGTGCCGAATTAAAGCTGATTGGTCGATAAGCTCACTGACATACACGGGAAAACAAGGGACACACGTCTGTTTTCAGCTTTGAGCCGCTCTGCAGTTTTCCTGATTTTTTTTCTGTCGGTTTGAGTGTGAAACACATCACCTGCATCCAGGAGCTTTCACATCAGGGGTTAAGTTTTTCTGAACACACAGAGCCTCAGCCCCTCGTCCAAACCCCCCCCACCTCAGCCCGGTGCCTCATAGATAAACAGGCCTGTCATGGAGTACAGGGAAACGAAAGCAGTAAGGGAGAGATGTTTTCCGAGCGAAGCGGGATCTCTCATGGCTAAATAAAATTACATGCTGACACATAATCACATTCCGACACAGCCGTCCCCTGACCTTCCGAGTGTGGAGTGACTTCTCTGTTTGAGTTTTCCCAGTAATCTCACTAAGACACTTCCAGAAAAAAAGGCACCCCTGAATTCTCACTGAAATGTACCATGGAAAAACTAAACGCCCCTTTAGACAAAGGAATGGTAAGGCAGAATACCAGAAGAATGCACATGATGTTGCCTAAATAAATATTAAGTTATTGAGGTATTAAATATATATATATATTATTGAGTTTATAATATCAAACAATTAAAATCAAACAATGCAGCTACAAAACAGGCCACTTTTCAGGTTCTTGAATTGAAATGTCGATTATATACCATTTTTGCAGAAAATAATTACTTAACCGCACACACATACGAATTAAACACTGACGTTAATAATGCATTTCAACCTGTTTTTGAAACTAGTAACGGGAGTGGCTGACAAATATGAAGAGGGAGTGTACAGTATTACACAACTTTGGAGCATGAAACCGGGACTCTGCTTCTCCGCTTTCTTTGAGCTTGACCCCTGGAATGTCTCGCAGTCCAGCACTTGAAGATTGGAAAATTAGATTTGGAACATAGAATGCTAGACATTTGGAGATGTATGAGGGCACTGAGCCATCGGGAGCTTAGAAAAACAGCGTACTGCTGCTAAGATGTGTAAGGCGCTCCCTCTTTTTAGTGAGGGATCTACTCATTGGTTTCTTTGAGAAACATGTAAAACAGACTTTTGTACCATTAAACACCACATTAGTGTTTATAACAATACCTAAAAAATGCCATTATAAGGTATATATGATCTTGTATTTAAATATAAATATTGAGGAAACCCCTCAGTTACCCACCACCTCAGAAACCCATCCATCCATCCATCCATCCATCATCCACCGCTTATCAGAGGTTGGGTCGCGGGGGCAGCAGTCTAAGCAGGGAAACCCAGACTTCCCTCTACACTACATCCAACAGGAACTGGAAGCAACTGGAAGTCGTTCACCATGGCCTCTCCAAACTTCTCCCACACCCGAGTTTTTGCCTCAGCGACCGCCGAAGCCGCGTTCCGCTTGGCCTGCTGGTACGTGTCATCTGCCTCTGGAGTCCCACAGGCTAAAAAGGCCCGATAGGACTCCTTCTTCAGCTTGACGGCATCCCTCACCACTGGTGTCCACCAGCGGGTTCGCGGATTGCCGCCACGACAGGCACCGACTACCTTACGGACACAGCTCCGGTCAGCCGCCTCCACAATGGAGGCGCGGAACATGGCGCATTCGTCACATGGGAGAAGCTCTGCCGGAGGTAGGAGTTGAAACTCCTCCTGACAGGGGATTCAGCCAGACGTTCCCAGCAGACCCTCACTATACGCTTGGGCCTGCCAGGCCTGGCCGGCTTCCTCCCCCACCAGCGGAGCCAACCCACCACCAGGTAGTGATCAGTTGACAGCTCCGCCCCTCTCCTCACCCGAGTGTCCAATACATGCGGCCACAAGTCTGACTACACAACCACAAAGTTGATCATCGAATTGCAGCCTAGGGTGTCCTGGTGCCAAGTGCACATATGGACACCCTTATGCTTGAACATGGTGTTCATTATGGACAATCCGTGATGAGCACAAAGTCCAATAACAAAATTCCACTCGGGTTCAGATCGGGGGGGGGGCCTTCCTTCCAATCACGCCCCTCCAGGTCTCACTGTCATTGCCCATGTGGGCATTGAAGTCCCCCAGCAGAACAAGAGAGTCCCCAGGAGGAGTGCTCTCCAAAGCCCCTTCCAAGGACTCCAAAAAGGGTGGGTATTCTGAGCTGCCGTTTGGCGCATAAGAGCAAACAACAGTCAGGACCCATCCCCCCACTCGAAGGCGAAGGGAGGCTACCCTCTCGTCCACCGCGGTAAACCCCAATGTACAGGCGCCCAGCCAGGGGGCAATAAGTATGCCCACCCCTGCTCTGCGCCTCTCCCCGTGAGCAACTCCAGAGTGGTAAAGGGTACAACCCCCTTTGAGGAGACTGGTTCCAGAGCCCAAGCCGTGCATCGAGGTGAGCCTGACTATATCCAGTCGGAACCTCACAACCTCGCGCACCAGCTCAGGCTCCTTCCCCATCAGAGAGGTGACATTCCATGTCCCAAGAGCTAGTTTCTGCAGCCGAGGATCGGACCGCCAAGGTCCCCGCCTTCAGCCACTGCCCAGCTCACAACGCACCTGACCCCTATGGCCCCTCCTACAGGTGGTGAGCCCATTGGAGGGGGGACCCACGTGCCTTGTTCGGGCTGTGCCCGACCAGGCCCCATGGGTGTAGGCCTGGCCACCAGGCACTTGCCATCAAGCCCCACCCCCAGGCCTGGCTCCGGGGGGGGGGGGCCGGTGACCCACGTCCGGGCAAGGGAAATCGTGGATCCATTATATTTCTCTTCATAAAGGGTCTGATGAGCTGCACTTCATCTGGTTCCTCACCCAGGACCTGTTTGCCTTGGGTGACCATACCAGGGGCATAAAGCCCCGGGCAACTTAGCTCCTGGGATCATTGGGACACGCAAACCCCTCCACCACGATAAGGTGTCGGCTCCAGGAGAGGCCTCAGAAACAAAATTCAGATTCAGCGCTGATTTTATTTCTCCAAACCATGAGCCCTGAGGTCACATTTTTAAACCTTTATATCTAATACTATAGTATTAGATTTACTAAGGTAAGTAGACTGCTGTGTTTTACACAAAATTATTTCTTTAGGACAAAAAAAAATCTTAACTGTTAGCTCTATGACCTAAACTAAAAAGTATTGTTTGCAGAATTTCAGAAAAATCCTTGAAATGATTAGTTATCTTGTATGACATTAAGAGCCAAAGATGAGGACACCGTCACGAGGGTGTGGTGTGTTTGGGGCAGACCACACTTCTCCAATGAGGCAAGGGCACATTTGTCTATCAAATAAAAAAACAATTCTACCCAGGGGGTGGCCTTTTTAAGCCCTGTATCTCCATTTCTTTCAGTTGCTAAGTCTTGAGCATATCTCTATGGGAGTAAGCCTTTGTAGGGCAAGCTATGGTTCAGTAGGCCTTCTTGGTAAAAGTATTTCTTGTTTTGTTGGGTTCTTACACAATAAACATTTTTTCTGACCTTTTTTTACCTCCCTGCACATGAGTCTGGTATGGGCTGATATTTGTGCCACTAGAAACTGAATATTTACCTTATGATACATATGAGAATAAGCTTTATATACACAATCGATAACATAAACATTAACCATACGTCTGCTTAGTATATGGTAGTATATGTGGTTAAATGAACGATTTCTGGCACTGCTAGTTTATGTTAATATGGTAGACCAACGCAAAACTA